CCCGCCCTGCATACCGCGGCCGCCAGATCCCGAAGCTCCCCCGATAATCACTGGTGGTCCCGCACCCCCCCGCCCTGCAGGCCGCGGCCGCCAAATCCCCATGTCCCCGATAATCCCTGGTGGTCCCAGCCCCCGCGCCGACCCGTTCACTCTGAATACTGCGGCCGCCAGATCCCCAGGTCCCCCGATAATCCCAGAGTGTCCCGCCCCCCGCACTGACTCGCGCACTCTGCATGCCGCGGCCACCACCTCCCCACGCACCACACAAAACAGTGCATAACACAACACCGCCGAACAGAACACTTCCGAACATAATGTAACATATCATGACATACCATATCGTAACAGAAAACACAATGACAGAGCCGTGCGTACCATACCACAGCATCACAGCACCTACAATTCGATAGCATGGCGAATCAAGCACATCATCACACCTTAACGGAGGACTGAGTATACCAAAGCAGAACATGTCACAACATCACATACCACGGCATCGCATACCATAGCACACCACACCACCAACGCGTGCACTGACATATCGGAGCAGGCACACGATGACAAACCATTACATAACATACCATAGTATTACATATAGTAGCACCGCATCCCATACAATGACAGACCATGCCACAACATACACAGCCTCGCCACACACATGGGTTCCATACAATGGCAACTCACAGCATGACAGAGCGCGACATACAAAAAGTGATATCGCATAGCAAATATAGCATGGCACGACACCATATCAAATGGCATAGTTGCTCAGACATACCATACTGCGCAACCACACTTCACATCACAACAGAATAAAGCATACGATGCCATACCATATCACAACAAACCATATCATATCAGACGCCGAAAGTTTCGGTGGGGATCGCCCAAATGTTCACCGAAGCCAGCAAACCGCCTGAGACATCCCCCCAATCTGGGCGCGAACGGGCCTGTGATATACCCCCTGGCGCCCCCCCCCCTTGGGAGTGCTGAAACCAGCGCCTCGGCGGAGACATCGTCGGGGCATGCTCCGAAAGAGAAGGATGTTGGGCACCGAAACAAGCAAACCGCCTGAGACATCCCCCCAATCTGGGCGCGAACGGGCCCGTGATATACCCCCTGGCGCCCCCCCTTGGGAGTGCTGAAACCAGCGCCTCGCCTGAGACATCCTCAGAAACTGCTCCGAACGAAAAGGATGCTGGACACCGAAACAAACACACCGCCTGAGACCCGCCCCAATCTGGGCGCGAACGGGCCCGTGATATACCCCCTGGCGCCCCCCCCCTTTGGTGTGATGATACCAAGGTCTCGCCTGAGACATCCTCGGACACTGCTCCGACAGAGAAGGATGCTGGGCACAGCATCCAGCAAACCGCCTGAGACATCCCCCCAATCTGGGCGCGAACGGGCCTGTGAGATACCCCCTGGCGCCCCCCCCCCCCCCTGGGAGCGCTGAAGCCAGCGCCTCGCCTCAGAGATCCTCACAAGGTGTGTGTGAGAGAGAGAGAGAGAATCTGAGCGCGGAAGTACCAGGAGTGTGAGTGAGTCTACACATGAGTCATCCCGGCCATGAGAAACCAGAGTATCAGGAATCTAAGAGCAAGTGCATCTGAATATGAGTGAGTCTGAATATGAGTGAGTCTACATGTGAGTGAGTCAGACAATGACGACATGAGGGTGGGAGATGTGTTCTCTCTCGTTCTCCGCGCGGTCAACGTAGAAACAATAACCCCATCCTTAGGATATGGGAAATCAGCTCTCAGATAATACGAGGGGGTGCTTCATCATGCAGGGGTGGCCGTCATTTGTAAATACACATCGGCATGGTATTTGCCGAGGGCGCTGCTCGCAAGCTCCTCCTTCGTCCTGTCGTGCTTCTGAAAGTCGCACCGTGCGCTCATGTACACATACAAACTACACGTGCATCTTCAGCGTCAGTGCCAGCGGCGCTGCCCGTCGATCATTCTCCCACAATTTAGAAGCCTCCTAGATGGGGTCGGAGCAGATGGGGTCGGAGGATCGCGCCGCATCGCCGATAACCTCAGGAAGGCATTAAGAAACCCCCCTGGGTTATTCTTAGCACCCGGTTTTCTCAATATTCCAGGCGGGCAGTTTTAGCCGAACGATGCACTTAGCACCCGCCGCACACAGAAAACAAAATCCACCATCGGCGGAGGAATACGAACAAGAGTAATAATAATAATGCGAATAGGAATACGAGTACGAATAAGAATACGAGTAAGAATAATAATGCGAATAGGAATAAGAACGCGATACGAATACGAGTAAGAATACGAATAAGAACACGAATAAGAGTAATAATACGAACACGAGCACGAACACGACGACGACGACGACGACGACGACGACGACGATTACAATGCGTTTCCTATTACAATTCCTTTACAGAAATCGATGTTTCCCGGCCGTCCTAAGGGGGAGTCCATCCGAGGGTATCGCCCCGCCCGCACCGAGACGTTATCTTAGCACCGCGTGGCGCGGAAATTCCAAAGACAGCGAGGCGTGCACTCAGAGTGTCTCTGAATGTGAGGGCGTTATAGTGCACCGGTGCGGCCATAACGCTCCAGGGTGCGGGGGCGTTATAATCCACCGGAAAGGGGGGGGGGGGGTTCTTAATGCCTTCCTGAGGTTACATCGGCGATGCATCGGCGATGCATCGGGGATGATTCGTCGACGTCGGCGACGCATCGGCGACGTCGGCGCGGAGCAAATCGGGCTCCGCATCGAGCCGCATCGCCGATGCATCGGCGATGCGGCGCGATCCTCCGACCCCATCTGCTCCGGCTCCATCTAGGAGGCCTACAACTATTGCTGGGTGGGAAGAATCATGTCGGGGAAGTGAATCGGAATTCAATCTCCGCCCAAGGAGAGATCTGATCAAGTGGCCCTGGGACACACTAATAAATATACACACAAATAACAGGATTCCCCGTATCCCCCCATATCTTCTGGGTTTGTGTCTTCCCCCCCGCTTCCCATATTTTCCCATATCTCCTGGGGATCGACGATTCATTGTGTCTGTCTGATTTTTCCCCTCCTGATTGATATTCCAAATCGCGGGGGGGGGGGGGGGGGGCGCCCGCCTGGAAAGCGCCAGTGGCGGCCGCAGGGCGCCCGGGACACGCGGGGGGAGGCAAGCCACAGCAACGCCTGGGAAGCGCCGCAGGAAGCGGACCCGGGAAGCGCTCGGGAAGCAGGCTCAAAACGCGCCTGGGCGGCGCCTGGGAAGCGCCTGGGAGGCGCCCGGGAGGCGCCTAGGAACGAACGAACGAACGAACCACCAATGCGGACAGCTGTCTGGGCCTGCTCGAGACCTGGTGGAGGAGGCCGTAGCCTCTTCAAACCTGTACGTATGGACTACACGCGATCATGCATATGGACAGCGAGACTATAACAACAAATCTGCGACGGAGGAGGGGAGGCGCCTAGGAGGCGCCTGGGATACGGCTGGGAAGCGCCTGGGGAGCGCCGGGGGAGCGGACTGGGGAAGCGCCTTGGAAGCAGGTGAAGCAAAAAACGCCTGGGAGGCGCCTGGGAAGCGCCTGGGAAACTCCCGGCAAGCGGCCCTGGGCAGCGCTTGGGAAGCCGCTTTAAAATAACGCCTGGGAGGCGCCTGGGAAGCGCCTGGGAAGCGCCCGGGAGGCGCCCGGGAGGCGCCTGGGAGGCGCCTGGGAAGCGCTTTGCAAGCGCCTGGGAAGCGCCTGGGAAGTGCTTTAGAAACTTGGAGAAGTGCCTGCCACACGAACCTGCCCTAAGCGGGTCAACTTTGGTAGGAGTCCGCGGACGGTGTCCCCGCATGCGCCAGACTCCCTCCTCGAGGCCCTTGCGCATGGCGCCACTCTTTCATAACGGTTCGACGGGTGCTGGGGAAGGACACTGGCGTTGGCGGGGGAACTATTCGCGGACGTCCGGAGTGTACTATGCCACGACCGTCGGCATAAGACAACCCCTGACGGGTTCTGCATGTCTTCAGGGAGGATGGCGGTGTATAAAATCGACAGCTCTCAATTGTGATCTATCCACCACCGTCCTCCCCGAAGGCTCAGGAACAATCCACTGGGGGTTGTAAACATCAGCTCGCATTCACTGACAACGCTCTGATTGAAGAAGCTGTGGATGTCGAAGTCGCGGCCAGCGCGGTGACACCACACCGAGGATACAGTACCCGAACCTTCGCTGCGACTTCTAAACTTTCCTTTGCTGCGCTGGCGGGGTCTTCCGCTGCTTAAGAGATCGCAGATGTGGAGGATGAGCATGAACCAATACCTCAGAGACGGAACACGGCACACAGATGCAGAAAAAAGCGAGAGACCTCCACCTCGATTTCTTGAAGACGTCGGGGGCCTGGAGAGGAGGAAGGGGAGAAAGAGGGGGGGGAGACAGGACTGAGGAGGAGCCGCGCCACACGTGTCCAGTGTTGCCAGAAGACGTCCGCTTGTTCGCGTCGCTCTGGAGCCCCCGCTGGGGCCCTCTGGGCCTCGCGAAAGGTGCTCTGTTGGCATCGGGGAGGGCTCCCTGGGAATCCTGGGCACACCTTGGGCCAGGGGCACCTTTGGCAACACCCGACCGATTCGGGTAGGGGATCGATTACTGAGTTGATCTGCCCCACAATTGATTGTCCCGTCGAATCGGCGAAGACATAGAATGCTCCTCGGACCTGCGGAGGCTTCGCTGTATGTCCTGCAGACTCGGCGGGAACATCAATTCTGAAGTGACTCGACTATGCGGTCGATCCCCTACTCGACCGATGGACGCCTGGCGAGAGGGCCAGGATTAAGTCGGGCCTGTCCCCCTACATGGGGATTTTCGACGGAAAATAAAACATGCCCCCGAAATAATCAAAAAATAATTAACAGAAAATGTATGGGTACTAATTTGTTGTATTTTTTACTTTTTGGTGTTTTTTTTTGTTGTTTCGTCGAGAATCCCCCTGTAGGGGGACACGCCCGACATAACGCTAGGGAGCGCGGGGCACACGCCTGGAGCCACGAGGCGTCGCGGTTGGAGCCGTTCGCAACGGACAGCTCCGTGTCGGGCACCTCCGCGGGCGCCCCCCCCTCTCTCACAGAAGGACATCTCAGCGTGGCCACAGACGGAAAATCCGCCGATCCAGCGTGTGAGTTTCTGAGTGGACTTGAGCTCGCTCAAGCTTCGCTCTGCAGGGGGGGGGGTACGTTATTTCCGACGTCATGTCCGACGTGTTTCGGTACCCGGGGACAGGGGGGTATGAAAACTCAAATTCCTGGGGTTTGGGGTTTAGGGTCCACTAGCCCAATTTCGCAGCCTGTTTGACGTGTCCCACCCACCCATGACCCAAGACATATTGATCTCTAAACGACGACGATGTTGTCTCCACACCGTGCCGCTGGCGCTGGGCCGAACCCTCCACCGCGTCACGGCGGAATCGTAGCGATACGTTGAGACCTGGCTTGCGCCGCTCACCATCGCCGCCCACCGCGGCGCCCCCAGAAAAGCGTCGACGAGGCGCAGCTGCACCTTCTTCCGGGAGCTTCTCGGCGAGAGGCTCCCGAGGGAGGGGGGCTTCTGGGCGGCCGTGGTCGTCCTGCCGCGCTGGCTCCGTGGCGCTTGAGCGCGCCGCGGAGTGTCAGCGCGACGGGGCGGCCATAGCCGCTCGGAAACCCAGGGGGCCATGTCCAGCCTCCACGGGGCGGCCCCTGGGGAAGGGCACGGGGGCGTTGCTCAACCCGAAAGGGTCGAGATCGCGCCCGTACCTTTCGCACAGGACTAACGACGCCATGTCTGGCATTCCGATGCCAGCATCTCCTCCCAGAACGCCATTCCTGGCACTCCGAGGCCAAGAATCTGCGTGAGGGGTGCGCCGAAATGGGGGGCGGCATAAGGGGCGCCGAAGGGCGGCCGTGAGAGCTTCAGGATTTAAATATCTATAGGCTCTTAGTTCTTACCGGATCGGCGGCACTGGCCAGAGGCCAGCCCAATACTCGCCTCCACGTGTAAGCCATGAACAAAACATGTCGCAAAGGCACCATCCAAGCCCTCCTGGGAGTCCAACGGGCGAATGGCAAAGCCCAAGACAAAGGCACGCAGCACCGCGGATCTTGGCCAGGAGCTCCACGGGGCCCCAGGAAGAAACGTGGACCCGAAACAACCTGCAGGAACCAGAACGAAGACCCTGAGATCCGGCGGCCTGAATCAATCGCAACGTGGCAACGGCAACGACCGGAACCCAATGATGACGCCCCGTGCTCGCCCAGATCAGAGGGCCACCGATTCCGGTGGCCCTCTGATCTGGGCCATCAATGCTACTCTTCGGGGTCGCGCTACTACAGCAGCGGGACTCCTCAGGGACTCCTCGGGGACGCGCTACTACAGCAGCTGCGTCATCAATGCCGTTGCCATGTTGCGATTGGTCCTGCGGGCCAGTTGTTGTATCCGAGCGGGGCCGAGCCGCGAAGGTGCCACGGGCCCGAACCCGTGCGAGAACGCCCCGTGCGAAGCAGACTTCGAATAGGGGACCGACTGCAGGATCGAGTTGCTCCAGGATTGGTTTACCCGCCGGATGTGCAACAAAAACGCGCAGCATGTCAGTCGATCTGCGGGAAAAATCATGCGCTTGTCGTAGACTCGGCGGGTAGATCGATTTTGGGGCAACTCAATTCTGCAGTCGATCACGTACTCGATCCATCCCGTCCCTCGTCGTTCCGCATCTTAGCAGGCGGAGGACGGCATGGCAGAAGCTTTGCCGCGACCAGGGGCGCCAGTCTGAGCGCGGCCGGGGAGTCTATACCGCTCTGGTGTTATGTTGCTCCCATCATACTTACGGACCACTTCCCAGAAATAAGTTCGAGCACCCTGAGAAGTGTCGAAAATGTGTCGAACGAGCATCGCCTCCCAGGGCCCGGCACGTGAAAACCCTTTAGTTTCGGCACTTCCTTGGTGCTCGAAGCTCTTTCTGGTGATTAAGGCTAATAGGCTGAAACATCATCGCCTCCCAGGGCCCGACACGTGAAAACCCTCAAAGCTTCGGTACCTTCTTGGTGCTCGAATTTCTTTCTGGGGATCAAGGCTGAAGTCTGCTGAAACATCATGAGTCTAATCCCCCTCCCCCTCCCCCTCCCCTCCCCCCCTCCCCCTCCTCCCACCCCCCCCCCTCCTCCTCATCCTCCTCCTCCTCCTCCTCCTCCTCCTCCTCCTCCTCCTCCTCCTCCTCCTCCTCCCCTCTGGTGGCAGGTGGGGGCAAAGTCTCCCGGCGGCCCTGGGACGGGCGCCTCCGACCGCGGAGACATATAATATTTTAAAACATGCATGGGGCCCTGGGACACACAAGTTAATAGACACAAGTCACAGGATCCCCTAGGTGTTCCCATGGGTGTTTGTCTTCCCCCCACTTTCTTTTTTTTCTCCTATATTTTCTGGAACATCTACGATGAATAGTGCCTGTGTTTTTGTTTCCCTCTGGAGTTCTACCGCCCTCCGAGCGTGAAGGGCTCCGCAAGACCCCGAACTGCCGCACCCACCCGACGCGTCCGTCGGCTGGGTCGGGCCTTCCGCCCGAGACTCCTCCACAGCTGCTCATCGTCACACTGACCTCCCAGGAGGGCTAGCAAACAACACCTGGACCGAGGTACCCGAATTCCAGTCGAGGTCTTAAGCAGTCCAGGTAGGTCTTCAGGTTTGGAGCGCCGTTCTTGAGCACTCCGGACTCTGAAGGTCAGGGCAAGCTTGATGCTTGGACGGACGGCCGGTGGATTTCAGCGTGGCTCTCGCTTGAGCGCGGCACAAACTAGTCCTACAACAATCAGACGAATTCAAGGGTGGAGGGCTGGTGGTTTTCAGCGTGGCTCTCTCTTGAACGCAACGCACACTGTTCCTGCAAACATAGATATCGGCCGACGCAGTCGCCGTGTGCTCGACGCTGACGCCGTCTCCGCAGTCGTCGCCAGTCCCAAGGAACTCCAAAACGAACTGAGAAAACAAACGTCGTATAGTTGAGTCGATTCCCTCCCCTTTTTCCCTCGGGGTGGTAGCGGGGGCCAGGGGGGGTCCTGATTCAGATTACCGCCCCCCACCCCCGCCAGGGGCCTCGCGGCCCTCTCCCCTCCCCAGAGCGGTCACCCTTCCCCGTAACTGCCTGGGTCCCGGCCCCGGAACTGGTCCTGGCCCCAGTCCCGGGCCCCGGCCCCATCGCCTCCAAGACGCCCGCCCCCGAGGAGACACACGGCTCTCCTCCTCCTCCTCCTCCTCCTCCTCCTCCTGCTCCTGCTCCTCCTCCTTCTCCTCCTCCTCCTCCTTCTTCTCCTCCTCCTCCTCCTCCTGCGCTTCCTCCTCCCCCTACGCCTCCTCCCTCCGCCGCCCGCCCAGTGTCCCGAGACTGTGGCAGGGCCATCAGCTCGTCGTTGTCGCTGTCGTCGTCGTCGTCGTTGTCGTCGTCGCCGTCGTGGTCGGCGTCGTCGTCGTCCTCCTGGGTCGGCGGCACCGGCCGTAAGGCCCTCACAGGAAATCATGGATCAAGGGTCGAGCGTTTTCAAAATGTCGCGGACCTGCTGACCCGGGTCAATCCAGACCCGGGTCAGTCAGGCCTCGCAAGGTCCTGCGAGATCCTGCACCCAAACCCGGGTCAATGCGAAGGACCCCGTCTCAAGGCTCTCGAAAATGGTTGGAAAGTGAAGGGCCAGTCGTTTCCAAAATGTGGCTCTCGCCATGCCGCCACCCACGCGCATCCGTCGTAAACCAACCCTGCGCGGCGGTTTACGCGGGCCGCCGGGACGACACGCTGCAGTGGAGACGCGGGCGTCTACGCGCGACCTTACGCGGGCAGCTTACCCGCCAGTGTCGGCGCGGACGACCCCTGTTTTGTTTTGCATCGCTCAGTTGGGGGCAGCGGCAACTTCCCCGCCCAGCCCAAGACCCGCCCAACACGAGTCCACCCCGACAGATGCTCGACGCGTACAGGTCCAGCCTATGGCGACGAGGTGCCTCTCCAGGAGAGGCCGACAACAGAAAACCGGGAGACACACGATGCCGGGCAGGGCCGCCGCTGTCTCGACTGGCCCTCCTCTCCCTCTCTCGCTCTCTCCCTTACCCCCCCCCCGCTGCCCCTCCCAAGGCCTCCTCGGTGGGGTCCGAGCAGATGGGGTCGGAGGATCTCGCCGCATCGCCGGCACATCGGCAATGCATCGGCGGATGCATCGCCCATGCACTGGCGACGTCGGCGAAGCATCTGCGACGTCGGCGTGGAGAAACTCGGGCCCCACATCGAGCCGCATCGCTGATGCATCACCGGTGCATCGGCGATGCCGCGCGATCCTCCGACCCCATCTACTCCGACCCCTTCTGGGAAGCCTAGACCCTCTGGGACCTGGGAAGCCCGATGTGGGTACGGGAAGCATGGGCACACCGCCCAAAACAAGAGGTTGTCCCAAACCGGCAGCAGCCGCTGTTGGGCAGACGGCCCTCTGCCTCGACTGGGCAGCTCCCGAAGCGGCACCAGCAGCGCACCTTGTCCGACGTGGACAGGGACTGCTGGCAGTCTTCGTGCACACTGTTTCCGTACTCGCAAGTCGGAAGAAGCAGGTAAGAAACATGAGGTAGGAAGGTGGATCAAGTAGATTGGGTCCAGGTCCTCCCAAAGAAGAACAGAACACTGCAAAAGCATGTCGGCTCCCGAAATAGGAATATAATAATGACACAACTTCATAATTTTATTTGGACTCGGCTTGACCGCAAAGGCCGCCTCCCCGCACATCTCTTCAGTCCCTGCCGATGGAGCCTCACTCAATGCAGGTACCTGTAGCGCACATTACGCCTGAAAATTGGGATTCCGAGCTGAGAAAGATCGCCTGTCCCCTGCGGGGCAGCGAACACAGCAAGTGCCAGCTGGAGACCAGACACTTCGGCGGAAAATGAATCGTTTGCATTGGGTTCCCGTCCACCCGAAAGCCGCGACCTCCCAGTCGCCGCTCCCTTGGGAGACACGGAGAGTGAACCCGCCCGCGCTCCGTCCGCATCCGCGCCACCCGCCGTTTGAGTGGGCTAAGAAATTGCGTGGCGCAGCTAACAA